GGAGTGCAACGCTTATTACACATCAGCGAACCCACACAGGAGAGAGACCCTATGGATGCCTTGAGTGTGGGAAAAGTTTTATCTCAAGTTCAGCCCTTACTATACATAGCAGAATCCACACAGGAGAGAGACCCTTTAAATGCCACGAGTGTGGGAAAACTTTCAGTTACCTCTCAAATCTTATTAAACATGGGAAAATCCACATCAGAGAGATGCATTATAAATGCCTTGACTGTGGGGAAAGCTTCAGTAAGAGCTCAGAGCTTACCAAACATCAGAGAAGTCACAAGGGTGAGAGACCCTAGAAGTAGCTTGACTGCAGGAAAAGATTCAATTTGACTTCACACTTCAGTGACCCACACAACAGAGAGACCTTGAACGTGAGGGAAGGTTCATTTGGTGCTTCCGGAGTATCAGGCATCTGCAAATCTAAACAGGGAAGAAACCTCTGAGATGTTCTCAGTGTGGGACATGGTCCAAGGGAGCAAACACCATGTTGGACAACAGAAATGCCTCCACACAGCTGGGAAATTCTCTCAGTGCCCTGACTGGGGCTGGCCATGGTGACAAACCTATTTCCTCGTTCCCACACACATCAGGGGCATTTGGCTCCCAAGGATGCAGCTGCCCATCCCTGGGGTGAGGATCCAGCAGCAGCCGAGCATCAGCTGGTCAGTGACCCTCTGGCTCTGCCTGGTCTCAGCAAACCCCAGGCAGAGGAGGAGAAGAAGCCCCCATCAGCCCCTCCCCCCTGCTGCAGCCCTGGCTGCTGAGCTGATGGGCCACAGGTGGGGGAAGGAAGAGAGAGAAACTTCTCCAGATGGTCCCTCTGCCTGACTGAAGTTCCCCCCTCCCTTCCCCTCCCAGCCGGGATCCCCCTGCCATGGAGATGAGGAGAAGGACACTTGGGCCAGGCTCCATCTTCACACTGTCCCCAACCCCATCTTCCACAGCCCCTGGGCTGGGCTCCCCTACTCACCTGGAGCTGTTTCCTGTATGGGGAGTGTCCCTGGGGGCTGGTAACTCCTCCCCTCCCCAAATTCCCCCGGGGTGCTGGGCTCTGGGGGATCCACCATTAAAGGACCAGCCAATGGGTTGTGGGGAGGAAACTGGGTATTGAATGGTTGGGGCTGGTGGAGCTGGGAAGCAGGGGGAGCTGGGTGCTGGGCTATCGTGTGTTTGGGGCTCATGGGATAAGAGGTGAGGGAGAGCACAGGGGCAGAGAGGTGCTGCCTCATCACTCACCCCCTCTGCCCCTTCTTCCTGCCCCCTCTGCATTCAGACAGCACCACTAGCAGAGACTGATTCCCACAGGGCGTTTTCTTGGACGCCTGGATTTCCCACCTCTGCTACAGCAGCATCAGCCTGTGAGAGGGAAGCAGCGTTGCCTAGTGGATGGAGCACTGGCCTGAGACTCAGGAGACCTCAGCTCTGTTCCCAACTCTGCCAGCAGCTTGCGGGGTGACCCGAGACAAATCTGTGCCTTCCAGAGAGGGAATAAATGGGGGGTGATAATATCAGCCTCCGAGTGTCTGGCTAGGGGAGGAGAACTGGTTGGGATTCGCTAGTGCATCTCCTTTGTTCCTCCTCCCCTTTTGCTACTCTAGACTGACCCTGAGCAGTTTATTCCAATCCCCCATTAGCAAAGTGATTGTTAGAGTCACTAAGTGCCCCCTTTGCAGTGAGATTGTCTCATTCCCAGACATCCTCACATTGCTCCAGGTTATGCTAAAAAGCATTTAATTTTTTGTGCTGTTTCTCCCTCTTACACCAGCATTCAATAGAGATTAAAAGAGCTGGATGAGGGATAGCAAAATAATGTGGTGGTTTCGCTTCTGTATTATTTGAAGGGGATGAGATGAGTCTGAGGGATTCCCTCCCGCCCCCATCAACTTCACACATCTCTCACAGAGCAGCCTCTGCCCAAACCGTGGAGAGTTTATCCTTTTCCCTTTCTACCCCTCCACCTTCATGTGTGTCATTTACCACAGCGTCCTTTGCCAACCATGCTTAGGAATCAGGCTTTGATTTCTTTGATCCTCAATCAGGCCCCTAGGGGCTCGAGACAAAAGTGTCACATTCCTGAAGGGGGAATTCAAATGAACCCCAAAGCACAGTTTCAGCTTCAGTCTGGGCCTCTATCTATTGGTAAAGTGGCATCTGGAGTTTTTCCAGCCAAATCCAGATCATTTGTAGACGGGAAATTTTTGGTTGTTTGTCTTTTTTTCCTCTTTCTTTTATGACGATGATGCTAAAACTTTTGTCAATGATCAGCCAAAGAATGCGGCGGTGCTGAGGAAAGGAGCTTTAACCTGTTCAGCAGGAAATGGGCAAATTGGTTCCCAAGAGTTTAGTTTTAAAATTCTCTGGGATTTCATGTCATGAACGGGAAAGTGGTTTGTAGCCCACCCTGGAGTGTGGGTTTTTCTCTTTTTGGTGCAGGCTGTTCTGTCATTTATTTGACGTTAAATGAGTTTGACGGGATATAGCTCAGATTTCTTGGGGACCTCAAAAGACAAATGATAATTTTCCAAAATAGTCCTTACTGATTTTCTTTTCACATCAGATTTGCTTCTTTGAACAATGAAAATGACCAGTGTCTGTCAGCAAAACAATGAGGGTGAGTGCTGGATACGCACTCCAGGAGTCAGGGACTGAAATGGGGAAGGAAGTGACTGCCTGATGCCTGCAGAGATGTAAGATACAGTCAGGAGGGGGAGAGGGTGGCTGTGGGGGGGCAAGGCCTTGAAAGGGCACTGTTTGCTCTTGCAAGCCAGAGAGCTGAGTCTGAGAACTGTGAACTCACCGCACATGTCCCAGAGAGAGAGAAAATGTCCTACGAGTGCTGGGTGAAGTCGTCCTTGAACTCTGAAGGGCTACAAATGAAGCCCAAGAGGACTGATGTGGAGAGGGGTTGGCTACTCCCCACTGCTGAGAGGACGAGGCCGGGCAAATGCCTCTCTAATGGATTGTTAGCGATTTTCTACCAACTTTAATGAGTTCCTCTTTCCCTGGGGTGCATGTGTGGCTGGAGCAGCAATGTGCCGAGCTGGGCATTGGATGTGGGCGGCGCGGGGGGCAGGGGATTAAGCTTTTATATCTTGGTTTGAAAAGAATAAAGTAGAATTTAGTTTCTCAAACTCCCAGTGTCCCTTGTTGTGAATAATGGGGGAGGCGGAGCTGGGGAAAAGGCTGGTATCATTCTGAGGTGTATTAACGTGAGTGTTGTAGGAGGTCATTGTCCCGCTCTACTCGGCCCTGGGGAGGCCTCAGCTGGAGTCCTGTGTCCAGTTCTGGGCACCACACTTTAGGAAAGATGAGGACAAATTGGATTGAGTCCCGAGCAGAGCATCAGAAAATGAACAGAAGTTTAGAAAACCCGACCTGCGGTGGAAGGCTAAAAGAAGTGGGTCTATTAGTCTTGAGAAAAGCAGGCTGGGGATGGTCTGCAGCCATGCTAAGGGCTCTTATAGAGACTGGGGATCAGTTATGCGCCATGGCCATTGGGGGAGGACCCTAAAGTGTTAAACTGCAGGGGAGATTTAGGGTAGAGATTAGGAAAACTTTCTAACCAGGAGGGTATTTGAGCTCTGGAATAGCTTCCAAGGGAGCTTGTGGAATCCCCACCATTGGAGTTGGGTTTTCTTGATTGTTTGTTTTTGTTTTTTTAAGCCCCTTGGAGGTGTTATTTCACCATCCCTGAGCTCCACACACTGCAGGTTCCGGCTGTGACGTTTTCTCAGGGTGTCCTGCACTGTGAATCTCTTTGTTACCCTCCAGCCTCAGTGCGAGGGGGACGTGTTGCTGCTGAGCTGGGTGTCAGTTCCCGGTCACCTCCAGCCTTTAGCTCCCCACACAAAATCCCCAGGGCTCTGCCAGTCCTTACTTTGCCATGCAGGTTAACACTAGGCGCAGCCTCTTCCTTGAGCTCCTCTGAAGTGTCCTTGGGATGGGGTGCACCAGCCCCATACTGAGCAACAAGGGCATAAGGGCTCATTTGGGGCTCAGCCAGCTCTGCCCTGCCACACCTGCAGCAAATGCTCCATCTGCTGGAGGAATTAAAAGGCAGCGAATTAGTTCAGTTGGGAGCAGTGCTGAA